TTTTATTTTGAATAATTATAATTACAAAAGAATAAAATAAATTCTTGTTATTTAAAAACTTATAACTTTTAAAGGAACACCCCTAATACTTACATACAAAAAGAATAACCCTAATGTTGTAATTTACTTAGGAGCGATGCACAGTGGCGCCTTGGGACAAAAAACGTGCAATAAATCACTTTTTCGACTTTGTCCTAGAAAGTTGCGACCCATACCAATCGACAGGTAATTGATCCACTATTACAAATATGTAACCCTTTATCAAATCAAAAAATTTTTGTAAAAGATATGCCCTTTCAAAGTTGAACAATTTTTTACTTAAAAAAACACACCGTTTTTAGGTAATTTTTCGCACTTCCGGGGGGTTTTTCTTAAAAACTAGGCATCGAATCGCTTTGCAATAAAACATATTGCAGTTTGCCATCCGCATCTCTTAGTTATGCGTTATTTGCGAAACGTCCATTTTTTCCATATTTTTTAACTTTGATGGAAAATAAAAAAAAAACTATTTAATACTATTTTTTATACTTCCGTAAAACGTTATTTGGACTTTCTTCTTGATATTACGAAAGTTGTAGCTGCATCCGCCTGCGTCCGCGGTTTTAAGAGCCAAAAAAGGGAAAAAAGTCATGGTCCAAGAAATTGCATATGGCGCTACCTTGTGAAAGATTTGTCCAAAACATGGTTTTAAAGTCCTGAAAATTTGATATCATGTTCAACAGCTCCATATAAGAAACGTTAGTTCTACCACTTTTGGAAAAACCCGCTAGTTTAGCGGGAAAACAGCTATAATTAGCTAAAATACGGAAGGCCGTAACTTCTAAACTACTGAAGCAACAGACTTGTGCTGCATCTCGTTTGAAAGGTTTTTTAAAATGCTTTAAGCGCCTTCTATATGTAATTTGTGTAAATGTAATATTTAAAAATATATGCACAAAACAATTTTTTTTTAAACTTTTTTTTTAGCTTTTTTTATTTTTCTCAAAAACGGTTTCAACGATATCCTCAAACTGTATAGCCCTTGAGATTCCTTAAATTTTGGTATACATCATGTTACTGTAAAAAATTACGTTTAAAAGTTATTCAGAAACGAAAATAGCCACTTTTGCCAGCTCAAAACAACTTACGCTGCCTAAGCATTGAATTTAGTATGTGCGAGTCCAAACTGTATTTTGGGTCATGGAATCACAACCTTGTCACAGAGTTAGAATCTAGTAATTATAGTCCAGAAATGTTAAGTCTATTGGATTTACCAAGTTTACCAAATTGTGACCATTATTTCAAAAAACATGAAATATAGAACTTTTTATTTTTAAAATAAACTTCAACCTTTTTTTTTTGGTTTTTTTAGTTTTTAAAAATTAAAACATAAAAAAATAAACTAAACAAAACAACATTGAAAAAAAAATATTTTTTTAAAACCCCAATTTTTTTTTTTATAATTTTTAAAAATTACAACATAAAAAAAGAAACCAAAAAATAACAAAAACTTTTTAAAAAAAGTTTTTTTGTCGGAAAAAAATGGATTTGTTTTTAAATTCTGACTGCCGATTTGTAAGTACGCCTCTGCCACGCCCACTCCCTGTCTCAAGCAATAATTTGAAAGGTGGATCAATTCTCTATCATTTGCCGTTTACATCATTCAATTATCTTCACTGGTTCAAAAGTTATGATTTATTACCAAAAAAAAGTCAAAGGCGCCACTGTGCGATGGTATCGATGGTCCCCCGATGTCCCAATATCGATTTTTTCACAGCTCTATGTCTCAGTAATTCACCACCAAGAATTGCGTAAAGAACATTATACTATTTTTTTTATAAATATTAAAAATGCCGATTTGCAGAAAACTGCGAATGAAATATTTTTTTTTACGACTATGACAAACGACTATGTTTTGAATGGGTGTTATATTTAACTAAAAGCTTGCCAAAAATAATAATTTTTGGGTATTTTTATTTATTTTTTACCCTACGTAATTTAAAATTATAAAAGAAATAAGAAATTCTATCGGTGGTAAAATTATGATATTAATATATGTGCATAGTATCAGTAATTTCAGCTGAAACATGAAAGATATGTACTCGTTGTTAAATTAACTCGTTATTAAATACGCCCCTAAATGAACAAAAAATTAAAAAAAAAAATAACAGATAATAACCAAGGCAACCTCTACGAGGTACCCGAGTTTAAAGAAAATCTATTTTTAAATATGCGCAGTTGAGAAATGCTTACCCACTTTCAGAAATTTCAGCAATCGTTACAACTTTGTTAAACCGTTGAAAACCAAAGTTGTCATCTTATTTTATGAAAAGTCCAATTCAATCTGCAACATTCTAGGATTACAGAAGGCATTATTTACTTTAAAATCAAATAAGAAAGTATATTTGTAGTTGTTCTTACCTTGCTAACAATTTTAGACATTGTCCAACATTTTTAGGGTTACAAAATGTAAGCGCAATTCTGATTTCATGGGCGGAAAGTACTCATCGAAATAAGCTAAAACACATTTAGGTTACTCTGGCTTAGCTCTCGTTTACCTATTATAGCGAGTTAAAGTTAATACCAAATTTATTTGAAAATGTCATATCTTGTGAACCGATTAAAATTTCACTTTCAAGTCTTTAGCGATTATGTAGCTTGAACCCAAGGAACTAAATTGACAAATCACTCTTGCAAAGAGCACCTAGCGCGTTAAAAATAAAAAAATAAGCGAAAATTGTCGGTATTTTACGTTCAACGGCAATATTTCGCATATTAAAGCTATCTAAACGCAAATATGACATTTTTTATAATATGCAAGCAGCAGGCTTACCAACAATTTTAAGTTTAAATTAAATTGCACGCAAATTACAGTTTCTAGACTGGTGCAGTATTTTTCCAAAGGCAATATGATTTTAGAAAAGTTTCCTAACAGATGCATATTTTGTTTTGTATGCGTCTATATAGTGCTTCAGACTGAACTGAAATCGCAAAGACCAGTAATACACATTAAAAAATATTCCGTTTAATGATTGGCCACTCCTTAGCCAACATTTCTTTACTATTCAGAATTTACATCTTGGTTTATGTCTGCTGGTGCTAAAAGTGTAAGCTCTGAATTGCAAAATCTCCCTCTTCATTAGACATAAAAACAAACGTTGACACTAAAAATTCACTTTCTGCATATCCACTTGGATCAGTTTTTAAAGCAATTGCCTACGGTATCGGACGAGCAGAAGACTGATTCTATCAAACAATAATGCCATTTAAAACCCGATATAAAGGAAAAGAACTTTAATGGAGTCAAACAACAAGGAAATGCATAACTTTTAAATGAATGGTCCGATTTGAAAAATGTCTTCTACATTTGCATAGGAAGCCCAAGAATATTTGTGGAAAATCTCAACCTTCTAGCTTTTGTAGTTTCCGATATCTCAGCGTTCATACAGACGGACAGACAGAAAGAAGGGCCTCCTACGCAGCGCAAGTTTATTTCAGCCGAGCGCCACGCCCCCTCTAACGCTCACAATCGCCCACTAACGATTTTAAACTGTGTCCTGCGCCCGCATCTTTAAAGATTTCCAAGAAGTATAAACGCAATTTTGTTGTGTATATTTATACCTATCGAAATGTAGAAGACATTTTTCAAATCGGACCATTTATTAAAAAGTTATACGCAATCAAAATATCTATATATATCTATCTCCCTAGTACAGCGTTCGCTTTAGCTGAGTGACGGGTATTAAATAGTCGGGACACCAACCCGACTATAGCGTTCTCTCTTGTTTTTTCCTTTTTTAACGCGCTAGGTGCACTTCTTCGCAAGAGTGATTTGTCAATTTAGTTCTTTGGGTTCATAGCTACATAATCGCTTAAGACTTGCAAGCGAAATAAATAAAGTTGGTATTTAAAACTTTAACTCGCTATAATAGGTAAACGCGAGCTAAGCCAGAGAAACCCAAATGGGTTTTACCCTATTTCGATCAGTACTTTCAAAATTGCGGTTACATTTTTCATGTTCCACTGTGCTATCAATACAAAATCAAATATTACATGTTTTAGGTCCTGAAAATTATTTGAACAAATAACAGCTGTTTGAAAATTTAACAGGAACCATAAGGGTCGTTCCCTCAATTGTTAAAATTATCTGTTAAATTTTTAATAATTCAGAAATTAGAAATTTTGCACCTCTTTATACCCTTGCAGACGGTATAATAATTTCAGTCAGATGTTTGCAACGCAGTGAAGGAGACGTTTCCGACCACATAAAGTATATATATTCTTGATCAGCATCAATAGCCGAGTCCATCTAGCCATGTCCGTCTGTCCGTTTCTATGCGAACTAGTCCCTCAGTTTTAAAGCTATTAAACTTTCCCAAAAGTCTTCTTTCTATTGCAGGTAGTACATATGTCGGAACGCGCCGGATCGGACCACGATCGGACCACTATATCTTATGGCTCCCATAGGAATAATCAAAAAAATAATAGAAAAACTATTGTAACTTTGTAGAAAGTAGGCGTTTTGATTTTTGACAATGTAAAAACTGCATTTTAAGTAGGCATACCTGCAAGGGTATATAAACTTCGGCTGGCCGAAGTTAACTTCCTTTCTTGTTTTACACTAATTTCGATATTTATACTTTTGTGACACACGCTTTAATAGCCATAGATTGCGTCATATAAAATATATTTTATATTATATTTTTTTAGGGTAGGGTCTTCATTTGTTTGCCGGCTAATTTAAAATTCAGCCTCCCTTGTCAGCTTTTTTTATCTTACAATTTTCTTTATAAGAAATTCTTTTCTTTTCCATTTTTGAAAACTTAAAAATTTAAAATGAAATCGGGCTTTCCAAAAGGGGATTTTGAAGCCAGCGATTAGCGCTTTACCACCGCGATTAATATTTTTAATGAGGTTAGGTAAAACTGGAATTTCAGAAACCAAAGCCAAATCTGAAGCAACGAAACATTTAATGATAGCGATGGCTTACCCAATAATTTATAATTAATAAAACATAATAATTGTATGAATTTCTTTATTTACAAAAAGTATAAAATACAGCAGCATGTTTAATAGATCATATTATTGTTTTGAAAAAGGAAGTTTAGGACTGTAGTGTATCATCTAGTTCTTCTTCTTTTATAACGGATTGCGGTGTTGTACGTTTTAAAACTTTTGTTACTACTTCGATTAATGAATCCCTAGCTCCAGTTTCTAAGAAATTTGAAATTTTTGAATAGGTTGAGTCGTTAGTTCTTAACCTTAAAATGGAAATTAATGCTATTTCTGAATTTGATTTTACGTATCCATTCTTTTCCTTTGTACCATTTACAAGCATCGGCACTAAATATTTTAAAACTTCAAGATTAATTTGATCAGCTGTCAAACTTTTAGAAAGATGTGTACAACATTTTGCAACCAACTGCTTAACATCGTTACTAGAATGATTCATAGCTCTAGCTAGTGCGACTACAACAGTAAGGGGAAGTTCATAATTATTGATGAGAATGTGCTCCAAAAAGTATGTGGCAGCTCGTATTGCATTGCAAGCAATTGGCACTCTGTCTGATGAAATATTGACCAAAACATAAGATGTAATCTTTTCCTGCAGATTTGAAGTAAGTACTTCGTTGGGACATTCTTTTAAAGCTACAAACAAAACTATTGTGTATCCATGCTTTAATATTGGATCGTCTGTGCTATCCGTAAGTATTAAATTATTCAATAAATCATTTACTTGTCCAGGCGCTATATACTTTAGCATTGCCCCCAAGCATCCACCGACAGCATTTCGAGTGACATCTTCGTGATAGCCGATCATATTTAATAAGGTGACATAAATTTGTTTTTTTATTAGTTCAGACATTTTTTCTCCAGATCGACTCACTATACTCCGAAGAGCATGGAGCATTGTTTCTCTAACAGAAGAATCATCGGAATTTTTTATTCCATTATGAATTTCATTAAATAGTGGATCTGCTCTAGTGTGAATTGCTACTAGTTCAGACAAAGCTTTTCCAGCTTTCATTCTTACATTTCGGTTTTGATCATGCAACGCTTTAAGAAATGTGGTCTGAAGTTGTGGTAAAAACTGTTTTAATAGAACACCAACTTTATGAAGCAAAATTGACAAAGTTTCCAATACAGCGGCCTTAACTGCTGCATTAAAACGGTCTCCTAGTATTCGAATCAATGGACCCGTTATATGTACCACAGAAGGCTGCAAGGAGTGTGCGTTAGTTAGAAAAATAACTTCACCCAGTCCCTGTGCTGCATTTTCTTTTTCTTCTGGCAATCCATTTAAAATAGCTTCTCGAAATACAGGTAACAACGGGGTAATTCCTTTTGGCAAACAGAATCCTGGAAGCTCCGGTCCTTTTAGTTCGCTTGCTGCAAACCTAACTGCCTGCCGAACATCAGAAACGTGAGAGATTTGCTGGGCGGGGTTCAAGCCTTTGATTACAGCATTGAGAGCCTCCCAAGATTTCTGTAATATTTCTTTATCGTTTTCAACCAACAGTTTAAGTAAGCATCTTAAAAGTTGAGGAATGTATTGCGAATAATTTCCTGGTGAATGAATACAAAATGCAGATAGTAAACTAGCTGAGGACTTACGAGTGCATAGGTCAGAAGAATTTGCTGAAATAAGTAACGTATCCATTATGGTTCTAATTCCAATTTCATCTGTTACTGACAATATAACCGTTTGGCAATAATCGATCTCCTGTAGTTCATTCGGAGAGCCGTAGGCTCCTGATAGAGCCTCTAATAATGCAGATAAAATCTTTGGAAGGTATTTAGTTAACGCTTCACCAGCGACAGATACAAGAATAGATAATGCTTTTGTATTTACTGGTGGGGAAGTTAATTGTGGCACAAGATATGGCAATACTACTCTTGATTTAATAGTCATTACCTGCCTGAGTCCATCCAAAGTATTCTCAGCAACAGAGGGGTCTGGGTCTGACAGACCTTCTAGCATAAATGGTAGAATATCATCTAACGCTCGTGACCCCACTGTGCTATGTAAGGATTCAAAGGTTTTTGCTGCTGCTTCTCGAACTTCGGGCAACGGATCGCACAAAGCCTTGCGGACAGTAGGAACCAGACTGTGTACAAATGTAAGTACCATTTCTTTTGATGTAGAGCCCATTATTTCAGAGAGGCCAATGCAGACTCCTTGGCGTTGATCAGGGTGGTCAGAGTTTAAACCATTTTCCAGGATAGGAATAATTTCTGGTAAAACTCGTTCCCCTAGTTTTCTAACCAGATCCCCTAAAGTTCGCGCTGCAACTTGTCTCTTATCATAACTTGTGCTAGCCAAACACCCTAGTAGTAAACCAAATAATGTTGGTAGAATCTCGCGCAGAGTCCTCGGTGTATTTGTCACAACCACTTTCCAAACATGCAATGCAGCTTGACGGACCATTAATGAAACATCGCTTCGTCCCATGTAAAGTCCTGATAGTACTCTATTTCTACGTTCATCGCCTAAAAACCGAATAATAGCAGTGTGAGAATGTTCGGTACCAAAATTATCGTCTTCACTTGCTGTTTCTGTTGTCATTTTTCCAGATACGCCAGATATACGATATAATAAGTCTCCAAGCAATTGAACTGAACTATATCTGATTCGCCAATTGTCATCAAATAATCCTTTTTCAAGCTCGGGAAGTAAAAGTGCCACAGCAGTTTCTGCATATAAATTAACAATTCGCTGGCCTGCCTTTAGGGCAGTATCGCGAACAAATTCGCTTTCATCTGCTAAAGCTTTTAGGATTGGATTAATAATTTGCCCGATATATGGCGTAAATTCTTCAGGAAATGCTCCAGGCATGTATATAAACATCATTATGTATCCATCCTTCACATGTGGAGCAATGTCAACCCGTTCTGCAGTCAAAATTATTTCCGGCATTAGTTTATGCATTTTCTCAACACCAAGGCCCCCAACAACCTCGGAAAGGCCTTGGGCTGCTCCACTGCGATCGACACTGCTAGACTCGGACGTTAATGTTTCCATTAGCCATGGTAATAAATTTTCAAATGAACTTTCACCCATACCTCTTACCATCGCTCCGAGCGCTCTAGCTGATACAGCACGCACTTCAGGGACTGGATCTAATAAGGATGATTTTAAGCCAGGTATTATACTTGGTAAGTATGGTGCTAGATCTTTTTGGTCCGTTAAAGAATACATATTTCCTATTATTTGCGCAGCCATTTTTCTAGTTTCAGTGGATCGATCCATAAAGGCACGTTGCACCACTGGCATAATTAAGGCTAATGACGGAGCATCAATGAAATGTACAAATTTAGTTTTTAGTAAACTTTGCAGACAAGTAGATGTATTATTAGAGGGATCCTCCAATGCATCCAATAGCACAGGAACAATAGCTTGAATTTCAGGATTTTTAATAACGGACCCTATGACTTTTAGAGCCTCTGCACCTGATTCTTGTACTTTAGTGTGAGAATCTCCCAACACTTCAATTAGTTTCGGCACTATACTAGGAAGACAAGATGAAAGTTGTTTTGGTGCACAAAATGCCATTGCACCTAATAATTCAACTGATGCTGTTTTTGTTCTCCAAGAATCTTCGTCAAGAGCTTCCAAAAGAGACGGAAGTACTAGCTTTACTCCATGCGCGGAAAGTTTGCCCATAACTACCTTAGCTGTGTCATCAGCTGCCTGTCTTACATATTGAGAGGGATCACCAAAGCATTGTAACAAATGTGGCAATACATGAACTATATACGGTTCAAATAAACGACCAAGTGTAGTGCACAAAACTTCAAAAGCAAACAAAGCTCCCTCTCTCGATCTATAATTTTTTTTTTCTTGAATATAAGTTGTCAACTTTGACATTATGTCTAATTGTTTTAGAGATAAAATACCAAGACCTTTAACTATGCCCGCGATACCATAAGCAGCTCCACGTCTCTCGCCATATTTGTCGGACTTAGCCAAAGAGTGTAACAATTTTTTTATCATTGCGGGAGCCTCCTCTTTCACGGATGGCATAAGATGAGGCAGACAGTTTGATACCGCTTCCTGAACTTGTTGTGATGGAGTAGACAGTGCTGTTAATAATCTTTTAACAATTGGATCAATTCGCTTGTCATCTTTTTCCAAATGTCGCGCTAGGGAACCCATTAGAATAACAACAGCTTGGCGAATGTTGTCATAACTTTGAGATTTTGGCGCTTTATCTAGAAAATCCTCAAAGACAGGCAATAAATTTACTATTGTTTTATTTCCGTGTAAATCAACTATCTTTAATGCAGCTGCTAACATTTCTTTATGTACGATATCTTCTCGGTCACCAAGCCCGTTTGATACCATAAAATTCATAATAATGTTAATATCTTCAATTGATAATAATGGAGCGATAGTTGAGAATGCAATGGCAACTCCCCTTCGAGGCTTCCATTGATCTGTAGCGGGCTCAGTTTCACGGTCAAATTGATCCAATACTGGAGGTATTAGTGACAGCTTTTCATTGTAAATTGAAAACAATCTCTTTAATACGCATTTTTTTAATGTTTCATCAATAGCTAGAAGTGGCATTAAGGATTCTGATGCTGATTTTTGAATACAGAGTTCGGGGTGAGTAACATCAAAAATTATATCATCGAAAAGGGGTAAAGGGAAGTTTGCATTATTCCAAATGCAGTTGGCCAGTTCTCTATTTTCTTCCTCTGTATCATATTTTGCTATCCAAAATCGATTAACAATGGTTTTTTCAAGACTATTATCAATTTTTAGATGATTGACGATTCCATCTACCATTATTTTCAAGGATTTTAAGGTAATTTTTCTTACAGAGTCATTATTATGTTGCAGGGCTTTTAGAAATAAATTTATAATCTTGTTATCTGGGCTAGAACACAAAATTGCACTGTTTGAAGACTTTGCCACTTCTAAGATAGCCAAAGAAGTTTGAGCAGACAGTTTTTTGTTATTTTCAAAAAGATATAACAAAATTTCAAACATTCCAAATATAGGCATAAATTGCGGGCTACAGTTAACAGCATCTTTTGTATGCATAGATATTATTTCAATACCTTTCGAAATAAGTTTAACATTCGATTCTTTATTTAACATTATTAGTGCACGCTTTAAGAACTCAAAAGCAAAAGAAAATGATGGCGGGTCAAGTAAGTTGGATTTCACATGATTGTCAAGATCGAATATAATATCGTTAATAGCTTTGTTTATATTTAAAGCTTCATATTCCTCTTTTAAAATGCATGTTGGACCTTGAAGCTTGATTGTCGCTACTGCAATGTCACGTCCAAGCTTTGGCTTAAAAGTAAAACATAGGTTACGCAAGAATAAATAAAGATCTGTAAGAACATCTGAACTTAAAGGGCTTTTCGAAGCTTGCAAAATATCGTCCAATATAGCATGAAAATGTTTTGCAATTTGTTCTCCGTTTCCAGAACACGATGCTTTTAGCAGGTTTATTTTGCAAATTAGTTTTTCATAAAGGTTTTGAATCCTTAACTTCACTCTCAATTCTTTTTCCATTTGATTTTTAATTTGTTCTTCTTGCTTTTGAGTATACCTAGTAGTTTTCAATTTTCCTTCTTTGGCTCGTTTTTCATCAATTTCGCGACGAAGTTGAATCTCTTCTAATTGTTCCTTGTAGCTGTAAACTTTATTTTCTCTTTTAATACGAACGGTTTCGTATTGTGAGTCTACATGAGGTACTACACTTTTATCATACAACTCACCTTCTGGTGTTAAAAATGTCAAATATTCCTCTTTGGAAGCATGATAATTCGTAGAGTTGCAAAGATAGGTTTTAAAATTATGTACAACTGTTGGTACAATAAGATTTGGACAAATTCGAACCAATGCTGATATAATATTCTCGTATTGTGCACTACTTATAAAATGGTTGATGTATTTATTAACTATTTCATCATTTTTCGTTAATATAAAATGTTTAGGATCCAAATTAAATTGTATCTGGATGGTTGTTTCCCAAAAGTAAGGGTCATTCAATACAATTACAGGATGATTTGATAATGGCAATAGATCCATGGCAATATCCATTGATTCGTCATACGAAATATTTTTTAAAGTGGTCAAAGATAGTAGCGCGTCTGCATACGCTTGTGTAGGAGTTCCGAATTGGTCAATTGAATTCTCTCCATCATTTTGAATGTTGACTAAATTAATGCGTTTACCAAATTCAGACAAAGCTAACTTTACGAACTCTATTCCGTTTAAAGCAATTAATATGTTTTTTACCTCATCAGTAGTATATTTTCGAACTGTTACTGAATTGCTACATAAGTTATAAACTAACGTGCGAACTAATGGTTCCAACTCTCCTTTAATTTTTTCTGGATACGAATTTAGCAATATTCTTGTCATTAAGGATATATTGCATAAGGTTTCAGTCGGAGCAATAGCAGTAAATTTTTCATTAAAGAAATATTTTTTGTTCATATCGAACACTGTGGTCCAAAAATAATTATAATTTTCAGATGGCTTTTCTAAAATAAGCATTATACAGGCAATGCAGGTTGCCTCAGACAAATTACATAATTGTGATGAGTTTTGCAGAGCTTTAGTATAATACGAAATAAGATCTGGGATAATAACACTATGGTTATTAGTCTCGGTATATTGTATGGATATAAGAAGCCATTCGAGATAACTTTGTCGAATTATTTGATTTGTGTTTTTCAGCCGAATTCCAGTTTTGAAGATATTTATAATCACACTTGGTAATTCGTTCCTAAATTTTTGTGTCCACAGGGCGAACATATCTAACGTGCAGCAAATTACTTTTTCCTGCGTTTCACACTCCAGCACTTTCCAAAACAGGGTAACAGCTTCATTTAAAATGTTTGGCAAATGGTCTTGATCTATGTTGTTAAAGCTTAAAAAGCCAGCTCCCTGAAATAAAAAAATAAATAATATTAATGCATTTTCTTTTATTTTTATATAGTAGGGTAAAGGTCTGCAGGTTGATATACCATTTGTTTTTATACTGCCATTTCGACATTCGCTAATAAAACTTAAGGGGTTATATACCTTTTTGAGATAAAAAATTTAGGGAACTTTGGATTTTTTTTTCAGGTGTGTAGCAATTATTCTATGAAACTGAAGTTATTATTTATTGATAGTACATGTTTTTATCGAAACAACAAGCCTTTGATCTTGAAAATATATGAATAATTTACAAAGTTATGGCAATTCTCTCTGAACCCTTTTTTTTATAGCGGCTTGCGGTGACCACGATTGCACAAGAACTATTTGATCGATCTTCTTCATTTTTTTTTAAATTATTCGTAATGATTGTGCCGAGTTCGTGAACGATTATTTTCAGGAATATTTGCTTTTTTCTGCATACAGTAACAATTTTTCAAAAAAGTTAATTTTTCGAGTAATAAAAATTTTATTAAAAAATTTTTTTCTGCGAAATTAAAATTGACGCATAAAAACTGAATCGTTCACAAACTCAGCACAATCATTACGAATAATTTAAAAAAAAAATGAAGAAGATCGATCAAATAGAATTTGTGCAATCGTGGTCACCGCAAGCCGCTATAAAAAAAAAAGGGTTCCGAGAGAATTGCCATAACTTTGTAAATTATTCATATATTTTCAAGATCAAACGCTTGTTGCTTCGATAAAAACATGTACTATCAATAAATAATAACTTCAGTTTCATAAAATAATTGCTACACACCTGAAAAAAAATCAAAAGTTCCCTCAATTTTTTTCGCTCAAAAAGGTATATAACCCCTTAACGCATTAGGTAGGGGAGTGTAGGGTAATTTGACGAGTAGGGTAATGTGACGAACTCGTCGAATCTCACATATGACGTCACGTTAAAAATGACAAATAAATGTAGTCGTCTCCTCTCATCGTGTCGACAATGTTTTTACAGTAATATTATTAAGAAGTCCCGTAATTTGTTCGTGTGGTAATTATACCCGTTACTCGTAGAGTAAAAGGGTATACTAGATTCGTGCAAAAGTATGTAACAGCTAGAAGGAAGCGTTTCCGACCCCATAAAGTATATATATTCTTGATCAGGGTCACTAGCCAATCGATCTAGCCATGTCCGTCTGTCCGTCTGTCCGTCTGTCTGTCTGTCTGTCTGTCTGTCTGTCTGTCTGTCTGTCCGTCTGTATGAACGCTGAGATCTCAGAAACTACAAAAGCTAGAAGGTTGAGATTTCCCACACATATTCTTTGGCTTCCTACGCAGCGCAAGTTTATTTTAGCCGAGCGCCACGCCCCCTCTAACGCCCACAATCGCCCACTAACGATTTTAAAATGGGTCCTGCGCCCACATCGTTAAAGATTTCCGAGAAGTATAAATGCAATTGTGTTGTGTATATTTATACCTATCGAAATGTAGAAGACATTTTTCAAATCGGACCATTCATTAAAAAGTTATACGCAATCAAAAATTATATATCTATCTCCCTCGCACTCCCTTTAGCTGAGTTACGATTATTAGTCGGCACACCAACCCGACACAGCGTTCGCACTCCCTTTAGCTGAGTGACGGGTATTAGATAGTCGGGACAACAACCCGACTATAGCGTTCTCTCTTGTTTTAGCTTCAAAACAAACAAAAAGAATTTTGTTTCCTAAGGCCTAGTACTTACTTTAATCAAAAAGCGTACGTATGTGGTTTTGATACCCGTTACTCGTAGAGTAAAAGGGTATATTGTATTTGTGCAAAATTAAGTATGTCTGTCTGTCCGTCCGGATAAACGCTGAGATCTCAAAAACTACAAAAGCTAGAAAGTTGGGATTACCCACACATATTCTTGGGCTTCCTACGCAGCGCAAGTTTCTTTCAGTAGAAACTACTGGAAGTTTACAGTCTACTGGAATTTTACATAAACAACAGGCTAATGATTTTTACAATCTACCAGCAAATTAATTTGATGTGATTACTTTTTGTTGCTTTTATCTGTTAGCAGAACTTAAAAATATATATAAAATCAAATGTTTTGTGGATTTTGGAGTTTATATTCTTGTTAGTTGTCTTTATGTAGACGTTAGCCTGGAGCAAGTTTTTATTTATTACGGTTTTTTTTTAGTTTAACGGAAATCTACAGTCGACAAAAATTCACTTTTTTTATCTTTGTCGAGCTCTTGCGCTGGCAAAGTTAGTTTATTAATCTATTGACTTTAAAATGAAAGAAAACTGGCTAGGGTCTTCGGCACCAAAAAATCGACTGACTCTGATATTTTTTCTTTAAAACTGGTTAGATGGATTTAATTCAAACCTTTTGTATCACTATGGACGGTAGTTTATGTAGTGACGAAACGCACCAGGAGAGTGTGCGAAGGCGACTACTTTTATATAGCCGCAAAATTGAAAATCTGCTGTGATAGTGTTAAGAAAATCAATTGGCTTGGGAGAGAGAGCGGTGAAAGTGAAAAAGAGCAAATTTCGAAATTTGGAGCTGTTGGGGGCCGGTGGGGATAAATGCCCCCTCGCAATGTTTTAGTTGTGTTTCTATTGAAAATACCCGTCGAATGAGGGGTCATATGATAAAATCCGACGCTCCGTTCAAAAGTTATAACCAAAATAAGATTTTCTTCGTCTTCCCAAAATGAAAATTTAATTCTGTTTGCCAGTTTGTCAGTTTGTCCAAAACATGTTTTTTATGTTTTGAAAATTTGATATGACGTTCATCACATCGATATAAAAAACTTTTGTTCTACCAAAGACATTAGAATATGAAGATGGATAACGCCATACGATTTTTTTGCACACAATTATTTGGTGCTGGCTCTAGAGCTGGCTCCAGGCTCTCTTGCTCAAAAGCCAGAGAGAGAGCGCTCTAGAGCCAGCCGCTCCCACCGGGAAAATTCCTCTGGAAAATAACATATTTTCAAGAGGTTTCTCCATAGAAGCGGAAGGGACTAAACCTCATTCACCCCTTACATTTCTTCCATCTCTGGTTTCAAAATACACGGGGGTGACACAAAAAGTAAGGGGGAAATGAGGTTTCTATCTGGATCTCTGGCAGAAGAATGCAGGACAAAATCCACTGGTTTTTCGACTTCCCGCATTATAGATTTTCCACACGTACCCAGTTATGGTTTTCCTCCACTTGCAATATCTGTTTTTCTACACCCTCCCAGTTTTGGTTTTTCCAGACCCTCGCAGTTTTGGTTTTGCACTGCTTTGCAGTATCTGATTTTCCACAATAAAAATCATGTTTTTTGTAATATTTGTTTGTGTATTTATTAATAATATTTACAATCGAAGCATTGGAACTACAAATTTTTAATGCCTGAAGCATTCCCGGGTTTTGCTTGGCCGAATGCAGTTCTTAGATATCCATTTCTTGTCTGTCTTCTGAAAATATCAAACATAATTTAGATATGAATGTAAGACCAGGAATAATAATAAGAGTAATTACCATTATTAGGTCTCCGCACAAAATTAAAGGATCTCTCCAGAAATTATGCCTGGTTTGCCATGGCCGATCATTTACCCTCTGTTCAGTTGTTTTATGTCGGGTATCTATATCAAAAACTATGAGAAGAAAAAATAAATATGACAAACGCAGGCGCAACACTTCTGGTCCCAAGAAGTCTCAGTCGGCCTGGCTGAAATAAATGTAATATTTTGATTAAGTTAAACAACTAAGTTAGTACTGAAGTACTATTTATACAACCATTTAATGAACACCTCACACCATTTACCACTGGTAAAGATTAAAAACATTTCAAGTGTCACTGAAATGCAGAATTTGTGTTGAAGATAGCATCCGGAGGCGTATATTTATTAATGGCGAAAATATCTGTGATACTAACCTTTGTAACGCTGAAATAAAGGTTATAAAAAGACAAAATTCATTTTATCACTCACCTTTTTATTGTTTTTTAGATTAAAATTAACTATTTTCACTTTTTTTTACTTTTTCCAACAAATTTAAAAATGATGTGACCCTGCATTATATTCTTGATAATACCATACAAAATGCAGATAAATGTGGGGTAAATTTCGTTGTAAAGTTGGGTCACACTTTGGCGCCGAATAAATATTTAAACAATACTTTTCAGGGACCGTAATCATTAAAGGGTACGTATATTATAGGTATATTAGGCCTTTTTCGTGTTATCAATACCACCAACACGATTTTTTATATTTTAACAACACCTTAAAATGGCTTGGGCCACGATCTGACGATCAAATTATTTTATTTCACAGAAAATGTTTAAAAATGTAAAAAACAATAATAGTTTTCTTTGTAATTTTATGTAATTCATTGATAAATGTGATCAAATATTTTAATCGTCTTACCGTGGCTTTTCTCTATAATTTGGTTGAATCCCACATTCATTCTTATTATTATTTGAAAAATGTTGAGTAAAATAAATTAATATTATCATTATAGACATTATGATAATAATGTTATATAGTTTAATTTTTTTGATTAACAATTATTAATATTTTTTCTACGACTTTTAAAATTACTAAAAATTAAAACTAAATGTGAGAACAAGTCTTTTGGTTTTGGTGTAAATCATAGGATTTTTGAATATTATAAGTCGGTGATTTTTTAGTTAAAAAATATTATAATCGTAGTGCCACAGAAATCACACAGCGCATAAGTGGCCTGATATTGATGCTACTCAGAAACCCACCCTCATTTAACGCTCAGAAATTATCTATCCCTACACCGCCGCCTGCAAAAAGGAACAGGATTTCAAGAACACAAAAACCAACTTCTCACATTCCCGCTGGGAGCTCTCGTGCACGCATACAGAGACAAAAGACGATTGTATGTGTGCACATGTATTCTCGCGCTTTCCCAGCGGGAAAGTGAGAAGTTGGTTTTTGTGTTCTTGAAATCCTGTTCCTTTTTGTAGGCGGCGGTGTGGGGATAGATAATTTCTGAGCGTTAAATGGGG